CTTGGGTGCGACGCATGAGTTGGCCCTTCGTTTTGCGGCCCTGAAAACCAATAACGCGGCGGAATACGAGGCGGTGATCGCGGGGCTCCACACAGCTCGAGAACTCGGAGCCCAAAAAGTACAGCTCCGCTCGGACTCCGCGTTAGTGGTGAATCAGCTGAACGGCGTGTACGAGGTTAAAGAGGAGGCGCTAAGCACCTACGTTACTATGGTAAAGGCCAAGGGGGCGTGGTTCAAGGAGGTGGAATTCATACATGTACCAAGGGAGGAGAACGCCCACGCGGACGCTCTATCTAAGCTCGCCACGGCAACTGACTTCGAGGAAGATAGGCAAGTCATCGTCACCAAAGACCATGCAGTGCGCGAATCTGTCATAGAAGCGATCACTGAGGCCGAAGAGAGTGAGAGCTGGATGTCACCCATCAGGGCATACTTGGTGCAAGGGGTCCTCCCAGAAAACGACAGGGACGCATGGCAGGTACGGCGCAAGGCCGCGCGTTGCACCATCATTGATGGCCAGATGTACAAGCGGTCGCACTCCGGCGTCTACCTAAGGTGCCTCACCGAGATAGAAGGAAAGAAAGCAATTGAAGAAGTCCATCAGGGGGCGTGTGGCATGCACGCGGGAGCGTGCAGTCTCGAAAAGGTACTGTTGAGGCAGGGGTATTACTGGCCAACCATCAGGGCGGATGCAACAAAGCACGTGGTCAGTTGCCACCAATGCCAAATACATGCCAATGACATCCACGTTCCCACTGCGCCTATGCGGAGAAACGTGGGTGCATGGCCGTTCTCCCAATGGGGCATGGACTTGCTAGGACCATTCCCCAAGGCGCCCGGGCATATGAAATATTTGATAGTGGCAGTTGATTACTTTTCCAAATGGATCGAAGCTGAACCTCTGGCGTCCATTACTCAGGCGCAGGTCCGTAAGTTCACAAACAGGAACATCTTCACGCGGTTTGGGTTGCCAGAGGCCATAGTGACCGATCATGGGAAGCAATTTGATTGCAAGCACTTTGTTGACTTCTGTGACGAGAAGGGGGTGATCCTGCGGCATATCCTCAGGCGAACGGGCAAGCAGAGGCTGCTAACAAAAGCATTCTGCACGGATTGCATACGAGGCTACTGGAGGCAAAAGGCAGGTGGGTTGAGGAGCTCCCGAGCGTGCTATGGGCGCACAGGACGACATACAAGGTGGCAACAGGAGAATCCCCGTTTGCACTCACGTATGGGAGCGAAGCAGTCATCCCGGTGGAGTTGCGCATTCCGACCTTCAGAATGGCAAGCTATGAGGCGCAGGCTAACGAGGGAGAGCGCGTGCATGACCTTGACATGCTGGAAGAACGGCGCGATGTCGCTTCCCTCCGCCTAGAGGCTATGAAGCAGCAAGTGGCAAGGTATTACAACAGGAAGATGCACCCTCACCAAATACGGCAGGGGAGCATGGTGTTGAAGAGAGATTTCAGGCCCAAGGCCAGTGAGGGGAAGTTAGAACCAAAGTGGAAGGGGCCCTACCGGGTTCGAGAAGTGGTGGGGCCGGCGACGTTCAAGCTGGAGCGCATGAGCGAGAAGAGCATCAAACGCACGTGGAATGCGCAGAACCTACGGGTCTATCACAACAAGGAAGAAGAGGAGTTAGTAGGGTAAGGCCAAGTAGGGAGGATGAGTAGAAGGGGGCAGATTTTGTGTGGAGGCAGCCAGGGGGGCAGAGTGTAGGAAGCGCCCCAATCCAGTTGCGCCAGGGGGGTCTATCACAACAAGTAATTCCGAAAGCGCCCTTCCAATCGCGCCCTAAGTTGTGAGTAGTGTGTTGTGAACAATTACAATGTTCGTGAGTAGTTTTAGTTCCAAAAGCGCCCTTCTAATTGCGCCCTGTGTTCGTCAAGTAGTAACTGCAAGAGCGCCTTCCAGTTCGCGTCCTGTGACTTTTAAGTAATTCTCAAAGCGCCTTCTAATCGCGCCTTAAGATTGTGAGAAGTTTTTGTGAACAAGTGCAATGTTCGTGAGTAGTTTTTATCAAGTGATTCTCAAAGCGCCCTCTAATTGCGCCCCATAAGTAATCCCTAACGCGCCTTCTAATCGCGCCCCCTAATGCGCCCTCTAATCGCGCCCTCGCCCAGTAAGTTATCCCTAATGCGCCCTCTAATCGCGCCCTCGCCCAAACAAGTTATCCCTAATGCGCCCTCCAATCGCGCCCTCGTAAGTTATTTCTACTCATGCAAACAATTCCAAAAGCGCCCTCCTTATTGCGCCCTGAGGTGTGAATAGTTTTTGGGGGCAAGTAATTCTCAAAGCGCCCTCTAATCGCGCCCCATAAGCTATCCCTAATGCGCCTTAAGTAATTCTCAAAGCGCCCTCTAATCGCGCCCCATAAGTTATCCCTAATGCGCCTTAGGTACCGTTAGCAGCAAAGCAGCAAGGCAAAGGTAATGCGCCTTGAGAGAAGTGATGGCAAGAAGTCAACTACTTGTTATCCCTAATGCGCCTTAGGTACCGTTAGCAGCAAAGCAGCAAGGCAAAGGAAATGCGCCTTGAGAGAAGTGATGGCAAGAAGTCAACTGCTTGTTCATAAAAAATAAAAAAAAGGGGGGAAACAGACTACTTGTTCATTCACGCGCCCTCACTCGACGCTGTTCTCCTCGTCAACCTCTTCTTCCTCCGCCTCCACCTGCGCGGCCGCACTTCCTCTTCCACCGCTAGGCGCATCGTCATTCGCCGGTGGAGCATCCGCAGCAGCCGAGGCGCCCGCCTGCTGGATCTCCATGGCCTTGACGACGTGCTCAATGAGAGCGATACTGTCAAAGGCCAACCCTGGGTGGTCAGCCTGGAACTTAGCCTGGAGAATCTCAACAGTACTGATCACGACATTGGCTTGGAGGTCTTTGCCAGCGTCCGATTCGGGGAAGTCAGCCAAGTCATGGTTCAGGCGCCCTACCTCGGCCTGAGACTTCTTCAGCTCACGCTTATAATGCGACCGGGACTTCTTGGTCTTCTTATGCGCCTCCTCCAAGTCGTCGACAGCCTGTTGCAGCACGATCTTCTCATTCAGCAACGCGTCCCGCTCCCGAACAAGCGCGGCGCCCCTTTCACGAAGATCATGCGTCACCTTCTCCCACTGAGCCTTGTCCGCCTCGGCCTGCGCCTTGATTTCCCCTTCTAGCTCAGTTCGGGCCTTGAGGCGCTCGGCCGCCAACTTGGCATCCAGGTCGGACTTCGCAGCATCCAGATCCTTCCGCAGGCGCTCGGCGGAGATGGCCGCGTCCGTGCCTTCGCGGGCTATCGAGGCAATCTCACGCGTGGTGGCCTCGCAGAGGAGCATCATCTGAGGCGCATCAATGAAAGACAGCAAATAGTTACACACAAATATTAATTAACATGAAAAAAGGGCTATTAATCGGTGAAGAGAAGTGTTATGCGCCTCGTTACCTGGACGCTCATGTTTGTCAATTTCGTCCAAGGCTTGTCAGAAATTAGGCCATCCGGATGTTCTATCACATCGTAGTGCGCCTTGGCCATTGCCATGGCCGCCGGGACATCCTTGGCCGCCCGGACGGGCACGTCTACGGGCACCTTGACAAGAGGGCGCCTGGACTGAAGGTATGGTGGAATCACCTCCCCAGTGTGCGCCCCAATGGTGGGCTCCACGAAGCTGCGGGGCAGACCCGGCTCGCGAATGGTGGCGGACTTGACCTTTTTCCCCGGGCCTGGTAAGGCGCCGCCCGCTCTTTTGCGAGACCCAACGGAGGAAGGCGAGGGAGGCGTGCTCACCCCAGCTGTCTCCCGAGGCGTGGAGTGAGAAGGCGAGGCTGAAGCAGATGAGGCTTGCGTATCCGAGGCAGGCGAGTCATGAGTGGTGCGCCCCCTTGAAGAAGCGCCAGCAGCAGCGGGTCTTTTCACCCTTAGCCTCGTAGGCTGCGTCCTGGCCGGACGAGGCGCCTGTGCGGCGGGAGCGCTTTGGCCGACATTGGCGTTGCGGAGGCGGTCGAGCTTTGACTTAATTAGGTTCGTCACCGAGGTAAAGTCAGTCCCTGCACCAAGAAAAGAAACGAGTTAGCACGAATACATCATAACATTAGCAAAAGCGCATAACCTATGAGAAGGCACATAGTCAGTACCGTCGCCGTAGAAATCGGCGAGAACATAAGCGTAATCATTCCCGGCATCGAGATAAATGGGGTGGGCCGATATACTCTTCGCCATGTCTAGCTCAGCCTGGCTTAGAGCCTCCACTTTATTAAATTCGAAGAGGTTCCCCAGCGACCACTCCGAACTCACAGGGCGCCCACTCTCAAAGAAGGGCACCTCACGTGGTTTGACAAAGAAAAACGAGTCAAACCACGAGCGCCCCATTTTTCGGCAGCTGCTGATGAACCCATACCCTAACTTACGCCTTTGTAAGATCAGGCAGTTGTCACTCCTAATCATTTTAAAGAAGTGTTTGAAAAGTTTAAAAGTGGGGGGCACGTTGTGTCTTCGACACTGGTAGCGAAAGGCGATGGTGGACAAAATAATGGAGGGAGAGAGGCGCGCGAGGGGACACGCGCAAGCAACCATGACGCCCTCAAGAACGGGCTCGATGGGGAAGCGTAAGCCAAATCGGATGAATTCTTGATACAGGCCAACCCATCCCTCTCCGCACAACCCGATCCGCGCCTCGGGAGGCGCATGAATGTATCTCCAGGGCGCAGGTAGTTGCGCGCATACAACCAATTTTTCTAGGCGCACCCCAAGTTGTTTCGAGGCGTGATGTGGCCCGGCCTCTTCTAGGGGCAACAGGTAAGTGTTTCGAGGCGCATAGCCGGGAGGCCACATCGAGTCCCAGGGCCGAAACATGTAGTCTTGGGGCACGAAAGCGCCTGAGTAAAAGGAAGGGGCAAGGTGTAAGGTAACGGAGTACGTAGGGGGCGCTTCAACTCTACGCTAAAAAAAAAAAAAAGGCGCCTGAACCCTATGGCATTGCGACGCATGCTAAAAAATTGAGTGAGAGTGATCCGAAGCTAACAAGGAAGGCGCATGAAGGAAGACTTACTCGATGTGGCAGGGGTTGCAGAGGCATTCGGGGCGTCACGAACGACGGGCGCCTCGGATTGCAGTGGAGCAGAAGAAGTGGGAGGCGCCTCGGTGGGAGGGGGAGAAGACCCGCGTTGGGGGGCAGCCGCCTCGGCGGAAGGCGCATTCGTGCTGAGGGGGATTTGACGGGAAGAAGCCATTGCAAGCGAGGCGCGTGGGGAAGACAAAGGCGAGAGCAAGGGAGAAGAGGGAAAACTAGAGAGAGGAAGTAGAGAGAAGGAATCTGCGAATTGTGAGGGTTGCGGGGGGGGGGGGGGGGGAAGAAAGGAATTTATAGGGAGAGGAGGGGCGAGCGAAGGAGAGAAAGGGAGGGGAGGCGAACAGACTTCCCCAATCCACTCCCAATTTTTGAAATTTGAATTTCAAAACGCGAGCGGATTGGGGGGAGGGAAGATAGAGGAATCATAAGGGAGACAGGGCACGAAAAAAGAGGCGGAAACCGGACAAAAAGCATGGATAAATAATAAAGAATAAAAATATATATATATATATATATAATAAAAGTAAATAATGGATAGCGAGGAAAAGAACGTGTACGCACATGAGTATAGGCGAATGATGGAGCAGGCGCAGGTCTAAGCAGACGTGCGGGAAAAGAAGAAAGAACACAGTCAGGCCCCTAACTTTGGGTGTTAGGCGCCTAACTGGGGGGCAATTGTTGGGGGAATGAGCATGGGCCAGCCCAGAAGGGTAAAGCCCAAGATGGGTTACAAGGGACCGGGGGCACGGGCCCAACCAAGGGGATAGAGAAAGCCCATGAAGGCAGGGACATTGGGCTGAAGGGCGTCCAGACTTGACCTGGGCGGCCGAAGACATCATGAGGGACAGGTGGGACCAGGTCCCTGGCGAAGGGCGCGTGAGACAAAGGCAAACAACGGTCGGAAGTGTACGAAAAGCTGAACAGATGATGTCACGCGCCTTCGATCTCTGACCAGCGTGTCAGATGGTCGAGGCGCATGAGCCAGGGGAGTACGATGCATTTATGGCGGGTCTGACACAGGGCGAGAGCGACGTGTACCGGTCGATCTCGCCCCGGGTATAAATAGTCGAGTAGGTAAACCTCATTTACCAGTTTTCGCTTCTCTTACTAGAATCGTTCCATTACTTCTCTCTCTAAAAAGTAGGTTCTGACTTGGGCGTTGGAGTGCTAACGGACCAACCCGGTCCGCAAGGCGCTTGTGTGAGTGCAGGAAGGCGGCCGCGCGGGGATCGAGGGCATCCGGGGCGTGAAGCACGTGAGGGAGGTTACCAGGCATAAACAGTAACCAACTATTCAATTGGCACCCGCGGTCTTTGCAGAGTTCCTCTGTTTGTGAAAGTGCAGTTTGATCGAGAAATTAATTATGTGTCACGCGTCAATAAACACGATCGAATATAATGGTGTTGATGCTGTCTGATATTACTATGATATGATAACATTCAGAGTCTTTGATATGAATGAGTAGAGTAGAGAGATACATTACAATGACACAATTGCATATCATCTTCCACCACCTGCCTAGCTGGCTACTTGCTTGCACTTGCACATCATCTGAGATCATTCACAAGCTCTTCAAAGCTTTCCATACCGGTTAAGCAAACAAGGGGCTGCCTTCTCGAGCTTTCCCTGCAACTTCCCACTTGTGTCGTTTGATTCATAAATGCTGTGCTGTGTCAGCCAGTCTGGTCCAGATTTTTGAAAACAGAAATAACAGTTTGTGACGTCCGGTTGGAACTCGGAATTGAATATATGGGAAACAGGAAAGAATCTCTCTCTCTTTTTCCTTTGCCTCCCAAATTCATGGGATGGGCCGCCGCACCGGATCCACAACAGTCAACTAACTACGCGCCACGTCATGCTTTGGGCCTGGAAGATAACGGAAAGGCCGCGGTTCGTTATCCGAATCTGGGCCAGGAAAGGAATTCCTCGAGGTCCGGGAAACCCGGAATCTCTCTCGACGCTAACATCGAAGCAATCTGTTGGTCCGGTCCCAACTGCCATTCAAAAAGAAGTAAAAAATAATAAAGATTAAGAAAAGGCGGGAATACTGTTTTTTTTTTTTTAAAGAGCAAATGACACACTCAACCGTCTTCTTCCACGTTTCGTCTTCTGATTGGACCCACCGCTCCTTCTTCCCCCAGCCTCGAAGCAATCCCTCACTCCCGCTATCCATTTACGAAAAAGTTCCACAAAATAAATTGAATTTTATATACGATTTTTGCCTTCATGTAAAATGGATAAGAATTAAGATTTAAGAACGGTGGATCATTTTTTCCCACTTTGGCTGGATAAGTGACCAAGTTCCTTGTTTTCTTCGTAGTAGAGATATGGATATGCGGGAAGAATGGATGCATATATTTCCGTAGGAACACTCCCACCTTAGGATGCTTGGACTTGGAGGTTTCTCAATTTAAGTGAGTTTAAAACTGTCTACTTACCATTTTTGTCTAACTAGATTAAGCCATGAGTTAGAAACAATAAATACATTGGCACCCTTCAACTTGTACTGAAGAAACACGGTACTAGTTCGAATAGTTTTCGACGGTGTATTCTATTTTTTGAAATATACATTTAATACAATTACAATAAATAACAAACAAATAAACAAGGAGTCCAAAAAGATTTTTTTTTTACTGACAAAAACGAACAATTTAAAGTCCACACAATTTTATCTATATCGAATTTTAATATCAGAATAACTATATAGTCATGATTCAATTCAGGTGCACTGACTTTTGATCGATTTATCATTTTTCTGATCTAATTGGAAGAGACAGAGCCTCTAATTGACGAAAAGTAAGCTCTTCTTACTTGGCAGGTTTCATCATTCTTCCCACCTCTACCCTCGTTGCACCAAAAGACGCCGTTAAAATAATTTGAGGAGCATGCCATCAGCTAGGATCTTTGGAAACTATGGAAACATCTGCTGCAAGTAGACGAAGTAAGATAAAATCAAGATGATTTATTTTATTTTCTTGGTATTCATCTACATGCTCACTTGTTTTTTAAAAATAAGATTAAACAAATGAAAACAATTTGAAGGTATTCAGTGGTGTCAGGACCTTGGCCCTGCTCAAGTTCGATTTGAAGATGATGCTAAGACGTTCATTGACAAGATTAATGCCACGAACGCGCGAGACAACCGTGTTGGGGCTATTATTAAGGAAATTTTGCGTATGATGGCTCTGAACAGTGGTTTTCATATACAATTTGTTGGTCAGATTAGCTATAGGATAGCCCATCTTGTGGCTCAGAAGACCCTTTCTTTGTCTCCGACCTCGTGTCGATTGTATGATTTTCGTTCCTGATTTTATTCCAATGTATAGTTTATAATCTCTATCAATCAATATAATTATTTTTGTTAAAAAAATGAAAACAAATTAATCTCTAATTTTACACTTTTTCTGTTCGTTAAAGAACTATCATGATTACTAACTTTTGGAACCTTTTTTTAGTGTCATCGTAACTTTTGGTTTCTTTGTTATAAAATATTATAATTCTTATATTCGAATTAATTATTATACAACAAACAGATACAATTGATTTAAAAATACTAGTCCTATACGTACTCCTATACACGTATTATACGCGACCCCACTGCGTGGTGTATATAAATACAGGCGCACTGCACCAGTTTCCCATCAGCTTCTTCATCCGAAAGCAAAACCAACAACAACACCAACTACCTGCCCGCCATGGATTCCCGTTTCTCTCTCTTCCTGATCCTCTCCGCACTCCTGGCCTCCGCAGCCCTCGCCGACATCTCCGCCACCGCCGATCCTCTGATCCGGCAGGTGGTCGACGACGAGCAGCGATCCTCCTCCCTCCCCAACGTCGCCGCCGCCGCCGACAACCTCCTCGGAGCGCCGGAGCACCACTTCTCCCTCTTCAAGAAGAACTTCGGGAGATCGTACGTCTCTCAGGCGGAGCACGACTACCGGTTCAAGGTGTTCAAGGCGAATCTGAGGCGCGCCGCCCGCCACCAGCTGCTCGACCCCAGCGCTTCTCACGGAGTCACTCGGTTCTCCGATTTGACCCCTCGCGAGTTCAGGAGGCAGTTTTTGGGGCTCAGGAAGCTCGGGCTTCCCAGCGACGCCAACACGGCGCCGATCCTCCCGACGAGCAATTTGCCTGCGGATTTCGATTGGAGGGAGAAGGGCGCAGTTACTGCCGTCAAGAATCAGGTCAAATTTTCCCCTCTTTGTTGCCATTATAATTTCCCTCTTTTTTACTTAGGATTAGGTTTCGTAATCAGCTACAGTTTTAGGTTTCGTAATCGAATTCCTGAAAGTTGGTGAATGATAGAGACTGATGTTTGCTTCCTAAGGTGGCTTTTTGATTCGTAGCTGTGATTTTAACCTCTGAAATTCAATTGGTTGATCGATCGGTGTAGTAGAAACTGTAGAAGAATAAAAATTAGAAACAAAGTGTATCTCAACTGTCCTTAAAATTGAATTGAAATTCGAATTAGTACTTTAGCAGTTTACATTTATATTTTTCACAAATTTAGTAAATAGTATGGGCGGTACTATATAGCCCACTCGGCAATTCAAGTCAGTCCTCGTATGAATTTCTGGCTCTGCCACTACGTTTGTTCTTTTATCTTGGAATTTGGAGGTTATTGATGGTGATTCTTGTGGGAATTTTCAGGGTTCATGTGGCTCTTGCTGGAGTTTCAGCACAACTGGAGCACTGGAAGGTGCGCACTACTTGGCTACAGGGGAGCTTGTGAGTCTCAGCGAGCAGCAGCTTGTGGATTGTGATCATGAGGTCGGTTACGATCTCTTCTCTTTCTTTGGTTCTCTACCTCTTGTAGCCTGGAAATAGTCATTGAACATGAATTGATTCAATTCAATTCAATCCTTTTTATGCAGTGCGACCCAGAAGAGCAAGGGTCCTGCGACGCTGGCTGCGGTGGCGGGCTAATGAACAGTGCGTTCGAGTACACGCTCAAAGCCGGCGGCTTGATGCGTGAGCAAGACTACCCTTACACCGGCACAGACCGCAGCACCTGCAAGTTCGACAAGAGCAAGATTGCAGCTAAAGTAGCCAACTTCAGCGTCATCTCGACCGACGAAGAACAGATCGCTGCTAACCTCGTCCAGAGTGGCCCTCTTGCTGGTAAATATGGTTGCTGCCTCTGTTTTTTTATTAGTTTTTTCAACTCAAAAGTGTCTAACTTGTGGGTTGTTATGTCTTTGTTTAGTGGCGATCAATGCTGTGTACATGCAGACCTACATGGGTGGAGTCTCGTGCCCTTACATCTGCTCCAAGAGGCTCGACCATGGAGTGTTGCTGGTGGGCTATGGGGCGTCGGGCTATGCGCCGATCCGGATGAAGGAGAAGCCGTACTGGATCATCAAGAACTCATGGGGGGAGAACTGGGGAGAGAATGGGTACTACAAGATATGCAAGGGGAAGAATGTCTGTGGAGTTGATTCCATGGTCTCCTCTGTTGCTGCAGTTCAGACTGCACCTCCCGGTACCCAGTAGTGAAATAAAGGTGCCGGCTGGCTGGCTGGCTGGCTTTTACATTTGATTTGATATATAGAGAGAATTGGATGGATGAATGTTTGGATGTAAATATTTATTTATCCCTCCTCCTTGCAGCACTGAAAGGGAGCTTTATTTTTACATTATTGCAATCGCACTTCTGTGACCTCTTTTAATCTATACGAGCTTTTGTTGTCAGATTAAATTTCTGAAGCAGATTTGGTACATTGTTGTGGAAATGTACCTTAGGAAATTTAAATGTATGACGCTTCCTGATTTATGTCGATGTATTGCTGATATATACGAAAAAGGGTTTCTGCAGCAAGTTGTCTCCTAACAGTTGAATGTATGTGTCATCGAGGGTTCAGAGGCAATAATCCTGCAACATGCTATCATTATTAGTGTCATGAACCAGTTGATCCCAATAACTCGAGTTGTTGGGAGAAGTTCAATTGTGGATCATATACCACAACACTAACACGCCCCCTCAAACGAAAGCCACTCACAAGGGCTTGAAGTTTGCACAGGTCTGAAGACAAGAATACCATGTGCTTAACAAATGGAGTCACCGGGAATCGAACACAAGACCTTTCGGTCACAGAAGGCTCTGATACCATGTCAAGAACCAGTTGCTCCCAATAACTCGAGTTGTTGGGAGAAAGTTCTGCTGGATTTAATACCACTCTCTAACACGCCCCCTCAAACGAAAGCCAACCTATGGGCTTGAAGTTTGCACAGGCCCACCATACCATGTGCTTGAAAGACAACGGTTAATATTAGGGGTCGTGAAGATTCGAACACGTGACCTTTCGGTTCTAGACTCTGATACCATGTCATGAACCAGTTGATCCCAATAACTCGAGTTGTTGGGAGAAGTTCAATTGTGGATCATATACCACAACACTAACAATTAGATCATTTCTATGGGTTTTCAACCCGATGAACCGGGATCGAGGAGTTGGCCGAATTCGGATTCGTTCCCAGCCCAATGAATCGGGATGGTTGAGTTGGCCAAGTTCAGGTAGAGAAAGCTGATGTATGTTGCATCTTGTTTGCATAAATTTCTAGGATGAGAGATAATGTGAGGGAATGCGTGCATTAATACGTCACCTTCGTCGAGACACAATCATCCAGAAGTATGTTGCAACAACTTGTCTGCACAATTTTTTGTCGAGAGAGCTAATGTATGTTGCAACAATTTGTTTGCATAAATATGTGAATTGTGATGACGTCCGTAGACTTGGCTCCAGAAGTTTGAACGAGTAACAAGCTTGTCATAGTGATTTAAGGTTCAAGGTGACCGTTACGCTTAACGGTCTCGGTCTATAATATACCGCACAGTTGAAGAAACTAAAATGGTCGCTAATAACATAAATAGAGTTAATACCAATGAAACAAAGAATTTTTCATAGTAACTTCACTACGAAAACAGAGGAAATGGAAGAAGATAAGTGAAAACCATAGAGAGACATAGATGAGCTCAAAAGAAGAAAGGAAATAAATGAAATAAAATTATTCATACCTTATTAATTTATTACACATGGCCATAAAACTGCCAAAACTTCTTCAACTCCATTGGTTGCATACAACCCCGTCTTTCTTTTTCATTTTCTCAAATCTGCTTACTGCTAAGGAGAGGGCAAAGGCCAAAGAGAAGGAATCTCAAACACACTATCTTGGGACCTACTCCACCAAGATCCCAAATCTCCACAATACTCAACCACCTGCTCATTGTTACAATATACTAACGTTCCAATGGCAAGAGAAACTCAGAATCACAAATCGCATGACCTATGCACACTGAGAATATATAACTTAAGCTTGCTACCCGTTCTAAATCACGAGCAGACTAGGAAGATAAAGATCCGATCTCCAGTCGATTGGTACATTTACTCCTCTTCGAGATCTATCAATGCAAATGAGAAGGGGCTGAACTTGTAACCGTCTCCCTCGTAGAACTTGTTCTGGAACTCCACCCAGTGGAGACGAAGGGCATGGAGGAAAGCGCTCAGAGTTTCCATCACTAGCAGCACGCCCACAGTTGCAAAGATGAAGACGATGATGCCAATGATCAGGATAAACACATTGTTGAACCTGCAAAATTTGTGGACATAATATCAAAACTCTATATTTCATGCTTGGAAATTGGGAGTATATTCAAGTGGTGGCGTGGCATACCCCCAGGCAAGGAGCAGGACTTTCTCGTAAAACACACTGGACAGTTCTGAGTGTGCAAGACTGCAGAGAAGGGAGATACACAAATGGGACGTCAGATGAAACAACAAACTTAATTCTGTGGAAGAGTGTGGCTGAAGTGATGATTCATTTGCATTTCAGAGAACACGCACCTGAGAGCCCACAGGCGAAGGTAAGAAGCTGTGTTCGAGACAGCTCCGAGAACAAACTCGATCGTGTGAATCATCTGATGAACAAAAACTTCGCTGAATTCAAATTCCTCATGACCACCGTGTGAACCATCACGGGCTGCTTCCAGCTCAGCAGATTCGTCAGTGCTAGGAAGTGGAACATATGATTGTCCTTGGTGAGTCTGAAAAAAAAACATGATCATTCGGACAAAAAGAGAACGAAACAGTCCAAACACCTCGGATATGGTAATGCTTATATAAGTGACTGGTAACTTAATATTGTTAATTTTTACCTTCTCGTACTCCCTCTTCAAAAGAAAAGGCTTTGGGAAGAGCATCCACGGCACAGCGACAAGGGCCAGCAACAGTAAAACCATCTGTCAACATTAAAGCAAATACAAATTAATAATCCCACCTCTTCCCTTTAACATGAATGGCATCTATGGAAAAGGTAATGGAACAACTAGCCAGACCTGAAGATTTTTTTGTCCCGGGAAAAGTTGGTTTTCACCCAGCTCGTCAGTTGGACTCAGGAACATGTATATCATGACATGGTATAAGTCTGCTTGAGAACCAGTTACCCACTTTATAATGATGAGAGCAGACAAGTAGCCGAACAAACTGTTCAAGAATATCATCTGAGGGACGAATTGGAACCTGGCCAAGCAAAAAAAGAGGCAAGCTTTAGTAGATTAAACAACAAGAGACGGGAAGAATCCAAGCCCAGAAAAGTTGCAAGAAACATGGCATACCAGACATTTAAGCTGCTTTTGAAGTAGAGTGCATTGAAAAAACTCAATATTATCCCAAGGTTCATCTGGGCTACTCCAAGAAGGATGGACATTTTCATCTTCAGTGAATTAAGAAACGGCAATTCACTGCGTGTACCGTGCCATACAGGGTCGACACCAAATGGGTAAGTATCACGCACTTTAATCAGACCAATTGTAGTGGAATCCCTGGAGACGAGCACAAAAAAGATTTCGGTAACATATCAGCAACATGCATGTATAGAATCATACAATTCTTTCCAAAAAATTACAGCAGCAGTCACGAGGTTCAAGATGAGTACCGGCAATAGGGATCACGGCAATCATAAGCAGAGCGGCCAAATAATTCGAAGGGTACCGAGAAGAACTCATTATAGATCAAACCAGTATAAATGGAGAACACTGACATCATCAGAATAACATAACGACCACCAAATGCCATTTCAGTGATATCTCCAAGCTTCTGTTATTGACAAGAAGTGCAGGTTTCGTCAGATCTAAATTACCATAAATTGGCATTCTAGGACAAGGACTGAAACAATTTTGTAATTTCACGAACAGAAAAAGTTGATAGAATCATGTTTGTGTGCTTGGTAATGTGTAGGAGAAGTTTGATTTCGTTAGAATCAATAAAGCTGCAAAGCAATACCTGACTGGAAAGTTTTTTTTCCCTTGCTATAAACACAAGGGTTGCAAGCAACAAGCATATTCCATGGCCCCAATCACCGAACATAACTGCAAACAGAAAGGGGAATGTGGCAATAGTAAACACGCCTGGATTTGCTTCCTGATACTTTGCCACCCTACAAAGTCATACAATGTCACCTATTAACCCTCTTTACAAAGAAGTATTAAAAATTTGATGGAAGTAAGACATCCACATGTAAGCATGAAAAGCAGTTCTTAGACAACAATAAGGGGCTTGCTTTGAAACAGAACCAGGAAACATTTAATTTGGGTCACATCTGAATGTGAATTGTCATGCAGATCATGGAGTATCCATGATATGTGGAATAAAATGCAAACAGAGAGACGAACTACAGGACTTACGAAATTTTCTCAGACCAATGTAGCTTAGAAATATATTAGTTGAACTCACCCATATGCATCAACAATTTCTTGGAAGGCAGTAGTGAACTTGTTTGTGCGAAAGTAAGTAGGTGGTCCTTCCTTTGTATCCAAGACCTGGAAAATGGATCCAACCTGAGAATTTGAATCAATTGAAGCTCGGTGCAAAGCATCATGGATCTGCAAAGACCAAATATATAAGTCAGTTGCAAAGACTTCAACAAGACTGTCAAAACTTCTTATTCTTTGTCGAATCAAGAACCGTTAAACTGTAAAAAAAATTTAAAAAACACACAGAACTTAGTAACATGTATTACCTGCTTAGTGGCAAACACAGGACTCCATCCCTCACCAACAAGACATTTTTTTGTCACATCAAGACTGAGGGTGTTTAGGGTATGGTAGATGGATTTCTCCTTCTTAACCTTCATATGTTGGCAAATACTTCAATCAGTGACCCAAATCAGTCCAAAATAAAGGATAAATTTGTGCATGAATTGATGAATATTCATCATTGAAGAACAAAGAAACATAGCCAATGTTACTCATTCAGAATAAGAAATGCAGCTAGAGTCAGGCGATAGCATTTTTTAAAGTTGTTTTGGCTTGAGCTTACCAATGAGTTCCACTGCTCATATCGTTCTGCAATTGTCTTTAGCAGACTGTTTCTCTGAAGAGAACCAGCATCTATGGTGGTCTTCATCTCTGTTTGCCTTCCTGAGACCTATGAGTAAGAGTAGAGTAATAATAAGCATAATGAATGAATAAATCACATTCAAAAAGCATAAGTGTTTGGAAGGAACAAGTCAGGCAATAGGCTTCTAACACAAATCACTCCAAGATTATCCAAAGGAGAACTATTCCTTGCATAACTACAGCAGTGCCATGACTGGTACCTGGGTAATCATTTGACTTTGCTTATTGACATCCTCCGAGAAAGGATAACGGTTTGCACCAAACGCATCACATATTTTCAGTATTTTAGTCTTTGCTCTTTCTCCGGAATAGAAAATAACAAAAACGTTCTTCTCCACCTATATATGAACAATCAGAAGTTAGAAACAATGAAGATAATACCAAACATCTGAAAAGGCAAAATTTCCAAGGACACCTATAGTGCAAACAGATTATATAGATTAAATTTGAAATAAATAAACCATTAGACTACAGGTGCACCAGACACAAACAAGTAGAAAAAATTGCACTTCATTATACTTGGAAAATGTAGTCTAAGTATATAAGTGCCACTGGCTTCACACTTTTTGCTTCCATCTTTCAGCCATTCCTATCACTCTGAGAACAAGGGAATCAGAATTTCAGAGAAGATACAGTGGCCACACTGGCAAACACCAAAGTCTCTGAAGCTCTCTAACATACACCAATAACAAGGATGCATGCAAAAATAAGACCGACAATAACAGTTTACCCATGGGTGCAACATTTACTACAGTCGTGATAAAAGATTTAGGAGCACATACAAAGCCACACAAGGAAGATAAGAAGAAAGAAACCTTCTCTCCAGAAACAGGATCAGTGACAGGTTCTTCAACAGCAGTCTGCCTGAGGAATACATTTCCCCTCGTAGCACGAAAGATAATCCTTTCAAATGCCAATGACTTCTCTTTGGAAACCAAGCCAGTGACAAACCCCAGCTTCACCTGCTTTGATGAATCAGCTGATAATTCCTATAGAATGACCAATTGAACAACCAAAGTTAAATTCTGCTAATGAAAATATGTCAATAGTTGAATGAAGCTGGCATACAAGCTGCTGCCTCCGATAATACCTGGTCCAATAAGGGGGTCTCTAATGATCCTTCCCCAGATTGGCGAGATTCAATTTCCCTCTGCTGCGCAGCAGCACTGCTTAGAGCTGAAGAGAAAAACTCACCCGCCTAAAAAATATACATTAGCTTGGCTGCACCAACTTTGAACATCCATCTGTATACATGGATCAAATACACATGCTTCCAAGAAAGTGAAGGAAACATTCTAAAAGTTCACTCGACGAATTGTGCAAATTCCATAAAGTGTACATCGAATCTTCTATTCAACATTTGAGGTCCAGAGGGGAAAAGTCATGCACATCTTGACAGGGCTGTTTGTGATAGCTAGACATGATCCAGATAAGCTTACATAATGCTTTCCATCCTAAGTTAATACAGTGGCCAGAATTAAATGCTACTTTACACAAAACTCATACACAAACTAGACCATAAATTTACTATTTTCCTCCATGGCCATATCTCAAATTATGTCAAAAGGCTAGTTTAATATTAAACTCAGAATCAAACCCAATAGTTC